CCTATCAAAAAGAAAATTAATTCCTATCAAAAAGAAAATTGATTCCTATCAAAAAAGAAATTAATTCGTATCAAAAAAAAAATCCCCCTACTCCTTTGGTCCTGGTCTGCTGGTTCCCTGGTCGCTTGGTCCTTTGGTCCCTTGGTCCTCTGGTCCCTTGGTCCCCTGGTCCCTCTGGTCCTTTGGTCCCTTGGTCCTCTGGTCCCTTGGTCCTCTGGTCCCTTGGTCCTCTGGTCCTTCGTCCTGGTCTTCGGGTCCTTGGGTCTGTACTTTCGAGGCAAGACGCGTTAAAGGTGATTTGGAAATCTGGTCATACATCCTGTGAAGCACCGTAGCAGACCTTTTATCGCCAGACGTAGCACACCTTTTTTGTGAGCCACCCTGAAGGTAAAATTTAGACGAAGAAAGTGCCATTCCAAGGTAGCAAACCTTTTGTGAGCCACCTGAGGGCAAAATGTTGAAGAGGAAGGAGCCATTCCAACGTTGCAGACCTTTTGTTAGCCTTGCGAGGTCAAAACTTAGAGGAAGAAGTTGCCATTCCAACGTAGCAGGCCTTTGTTTTGTGAGCAACCCGAGGGTAGAACTTGCTATTCCAACGTAGCAGACCTTTTGTGAGCCACCCGGGGTTAAACTTTAGGTGCCACGCCAAGGTAGCAGACCTTTTGTGAGCAAAATTTAGACAGAGGAGCAGTAGATCTTTTGTGAGCCATGCGGGGGCAAAATTTACAGGAGCAGACCTGTTGTCAGCATAAACTTTAGAGGAGGAAGGTGCCATTCCAACATAGCAGACCTTTTGTGAGCCATCCACAAATCTTGTGGTTTTGTGAGCCATCGTGAAATTCAGACAGATCACGGTTGAGATGCAGAGAGGTTTACATCTACAAAGATCCAGAGGCCTGGAGATCCAGACGGATCTGCAGGTGTAGAGGCCTAGAAACCCACAGACCTAAAGATGGAGGCTTAGAGGTCTTGAGTCTTGAGATCCAGGGAGGTGTTGAAATCTAAGTTCTATACTTGCAGAGGGTGTAGAAAGATGTTCAGATCCAGAGATATCAAGAGCTCTTTTCACAGGTCTTCAGATCCACAGAATTTTACAAACGCCACGCAAACTGCACTACAAGGTTCGCAATCACTGCGCTTGCCACGAAGTCTGCGCTGATAGACGGAGGTTCACGCAATCTGCACTTCGAGGTTCACGAAGTGCTGCGCCTGCCATGAAATCTGCAGTTCCGGTGCACAAAGTGCTGCGCCTGCCAGGAGCCCTGCAACTGAAGGTGCTCAAAGTGCTGCGTACAAAGTGCCGCTCCTGCCACGAAATTTGCAGTTCCAGTGCACAAAATGCCGCTCTTGCCACGAAATCTGCTACTAGAGGTGATCAAAGTGCTGCGCAGGCCACGAAATCTGCAGTTCCAGTGCACAAAGTGCCGCTCCTGCCACGAAATCTGCCACTGGAGATGCTCAAAGTGCTGCGCGCGCCACAAAAACTGCGCATCCAGATTCACATCGCGCAGCGCTGCCAAGGCGGTTTGCAGTGGCAGGCGCAGCTCTTTGTGAGAGATATTTTGTTTTTGATACAAATTAATTTTCTTTTTGATAGGATATAGAAAATTTCTTTTTGATATATATCAATTTTCTTTTTGATAGCCCGGCCCGTGTAGCGGGGGTTGGTTGAACGTGTGAACGTGGTTGGTTGGGTGTAAACGGTGGCTTGGTGTAAACGGTGCTGCTGCTGCCGCTCTGCTGCTTGCTGCTGCTGTTTGCTGCTGCCGCTGGTTGCCGCTTCTGTAGCTGCTGCTTTGCTACTTGTTGCGGCTTGGTGCTGCTGCTGCTGTTGCTGACGACGCCGCTGCTGCTGCTGCTGCTTGCTGCTTGCTGCTGCTGCTGCTTGCTGCTTGCTGCTGCGTGGTGCTGCTGGCGGCGGCGGCTGCTGCTGCTGCTGGCTGCTGCTTGCTGCATAGGACTTGTACTTCACTGTTACAAATTCTTTGCCCCTATTTCTAACCTAATGCATGCATAAGCGGGGGGTAAATTTACCCCCCAGGTATTTCCTCAAGACACTCTACTCCATATACCTTTTACCCGTGCTTCTCCTACGTACAGTCCGTGTGATGTCAGAAATGCTTACCCCTCTTTCCGACTCAAGGCATACAAAAGCGGGGGGTATGCTATGCTACTTTTGGACCTCCTCCCCCTGGCCTCAAGCTCCTAGTAGCGTGGCACCATGAGGCTGCCCCGGCTTGTTTCGGGACATGGCGGACCTGCGGTCCCCGACTCTGCAGGTCCCATCGATGTTCGACAAATGGCGACTGGTCGATTTGTTCTTGCAATACAAAGGCCTTGTCACACAGCATATTGAGCCTTGTCACACATGGCCTTGTCACGTGTCCATTTGTGATTCTTCTTAGCCATGTGTTGGACAGTGTTTGGTGTTGGGACAGTCTTGCCTCAAGACCGAGGACTCTTACAACCACTTTGTGTGCCTCGGCCATATCTAGATGATTCTAGATGTATCGAACGTCAGATGCAAGTGTTTCTTCGTCCTACTGAGCTGGTTTCATAGTGGTCCAGACTCCAGACTCAGTGGACCTGGTGGATGAAGCAGGTCGTCGTTGAATGATATGCCATTGTCCTCCTGCTTGTGAGGAATGTTCGCATGAAGCAGATTGTGCAGGCGGCAAGCAATAACATTGTCAGAAGTGAATCTGACAAAAACTGGTTTCTACAATACGAGAACATCAGAGTCGGAAAGCCTTCAAAGATGGAAGACATGGTCACCCAGGCTCCTAGGCTGCAATCAGTTGTCTCCACCTTGATTCTCTGCTGCGAACGGGCCTGGCTCTCGAGCTCGCTCACCCGAGAAACGGTCGAGGGTGTCCACCTCCCCATTGCCCTCTACTCTACTCCCCATCGCTTATTGTATGGGATAAAAAGCGCTTTGGATGGAATCTCAACAAGGTTGCGGTGGAAATGTGAGGATCAGGACCGATACTAGACCTGCACTGTACGTAGTACTAACCATGACCAGCGCAGCCATAATGAAAGCATACAGGACCCGAACAGGAGATATCAACTGAACCCCGCCAACGAGACAGGAAGCGGAAACCCAAATCCTGAAGCAAATATATATAGATATGTTCGCATCTTATGCAATCTTTGGAAACCAACTAGCAATTACTCCACGTATTGAATCTGATGCCGCGAGCGATCCATTGGCCAAGGAAACCAGCCCACATATGTGCCGCTTGAGGGACTTGACCTATGCAGCACCCATCTATGTGGATGTGATCTACTGGAAGGGAGACCGTAGAATCCGCATCTTGATCAGCAAAGACTGATAAGCTGCATAGCTTTACATGATGCTGAAACGATGCAAGGGGACGGGCTGATGTCACTTTGCCACCATAGTATGACTCATAGACAGGATGGAGATATGTTTGCCAAAAGCTGAGAAGCAGTCAAGTGTTAGAATCCCTTGAGCAGATCAAGCGTGCTGATAGACTTGATGGATTGCCCCTCGATGGCCCCCATGCAAAATGCGTCTCAGGCAAGCGAGACTTGGAGATTGGCATGCTACCAGTGATGCTGCGCAGTAACCTCTGTGTGTTGAACGGCAAAGGTGAAGAAGAGACTCTATCTATATAAATTGTGTTTGGCATGTCCCTTCCGCAGCGCGAGCACCGGTGAATTTGCTCTTAAGATTTGGCTTTTGTTTCCACTAGTGAGTCCTGTTTTCCGTCATGTCTCGTCAAGCTATGTGCTTTACTTTAAGGCTGAAGGCATAAGGGGGTTCCGAAGACCAGTTGAGGGAGGTGAAAGCTTTCAATTAAAATGCTTAGAGCCAGGTCAGGAGAGCAAAGATTAACCTGGTGTCCGGCAGAATCCGACAGGTGCTCCAACGTTGAACAGCAACGCTTCACTTGCTGGCTGTCCAGGGCACAAGAGCAAGTCAAGGTAACACCCAAATGGAAAAGCTCACGAGGTTTCAGCCCAGATCCGGATGGAAAAGCCTTGGCACTATTCATGACTTTGAGGCAGTTTGCGAGTTGACAGGATGAAACATCATGAAACATCTAAGGAAGTGGTTGCTTCGGGTGAGTGTCCCTATGATCCAGGAGGATTGGTGAGTGAGTTCTGTTCACGGAGCGCAGCTTCGCCTGATAATCTGATCACACGGAGTGATCATGGAGTGCAGAGCCTGTTTGTTAGACTACAGGTATTGAATGCTTTGGAAGAGCGCGGTGTGAATATGCAAAAACAATCGTCAATCATTTTGGATGATCGACCTAGCATTTCCAACGAACACAGACCATTTGCAATACGCGAGTCCAAAGAAGAAACAATTTTCCTGTGCAGTGCTGGGCAGGATACTTCATTGTCAAAGGAGTGGAGCGAGTGCTCATGATGCAAGAACAGGCGTTGTCACAGCACTGGGCAACCCAGCATCGCATCATTTTAGTTTGATCCACCGTATAGTTTCTATTGGAGAGTATGTTGAGTACCCACATGTGCCTGAGCGCTTGCCCCTCAGCCTTTGTCCAACCGAATCGTCGTGGAGTATGACTCGAAGAAGACACTCCAGGCCTTTGTAACCTCCCATAGCAGCTTGCCTCGCACCCGTTGAGCAACAAACTGTTTCATGATACATAACAGTAAGTCTATAAGTAAAGTAGCAAGCTTGGAGTTTCATGGTCTGCAGAATCGAGGTGAAGATAACAAGAGCAGAACCGTGTCACAGCTGCACGATGGTTTGAGTGATTCGATTTTCTACAATAACTTTATCAAATCACTCGTTGGCAAGCCCGATGGAATCTCTAGGTGGTCGTGGCAAACCCATTGGCACGGAAGAAAGGGCTGTATGCAACTTGGCAGTTGGAGGTGATGCAAGAGAATGAATGAACATTGAACAACATGTGCCAAAGGATGATGTTTGGTGAGAGCATGGCATACTGCTGTAGGTGAAGCATTCGGCCTTTTCAGAGCTCATCCCAGTTTCGATCCTGATGAAGGCCCCAAGTTGGTGCCGTCCATGGTGTGACAAACCACAAGTACAACTACTGTATAAAATTATGACTGGCCCGGAAATCGGTTGGCCGACCTCACTTGTGCTGGTAGGCTATGGGCGTGCAGAGTGACATGGAGATCGTTCAAATGGTGGGCATTCAACGGAAGTACTTGGACACCTTGATGATCACATTGCAAGAATGTCACGCAGCATGGCAGCATGCACATGTAAGGTAAGGCTAAGCAAGCTTTTGTTCGGGTTGGCTGCAAGCAGGGGTGGGTTGCGTGGTGCCGCACTGCTCAACATCACCTTTTTGTGAAGAATATCCATGACTTGTGTCACTTGTGTATATATATATATATATTATATAAACTCCTCAACTAATGACTGACTAGGGTTGTAACTTGGAAAAGTTTTTCTTGCAATCTGACCCAATCAGACTCGAAGTTTCTCCAGCGAAGCTAGTGATGACAACGGAGGAAAGACATATATTTTCGCAGAAAGCTGCATTGGATTTCTTAGCTGCAAAGATCAAGGTGAAGCCAGGCACGCAGTTTGCGGGGCGGCCTCGGCTTTGCGAAGTCCAAAGACATTTCAAAGTCCTGAGTTTGCAATTATACTTTCTGTGAAGGATCCTTGAAGCACCCCTGGATGGAACAGGTCAGGAACGAAGAAGGCAGCAAGATCCAATGGATTTGATCAGCCGGCAGGTGCAGTGCGGCCAATCTCGGAGCAAACGCATACTGACGACGCAAGAGCAAGTTAGCAAAACCTGAGTCATGTTGCATTTTTTGGAACCTTCACCCGCTCCAGATCTTGTCACATGTGGAGTGCCCGAACCAGAGCTTGGCCCCGAAGATCCGCTGCCTCGCTGCATGTACTGGTCATCAAATGCAGTGAAGTTTGTGCTTCATCCATTTTCATCCCTAGCACTTGTCCTTCCAACTTCAAGATGCAGCATATATGTATATATACATATGTTTTGACTGGACCTCGCCAAACAGGAGCTACCCAACGAAAAGTGCGGAATTATTGTTCATGTCCTGGCCCCTTGTGCTCTTTGCACACAGGCTACTTTGGCCTCATGATCCGCCGGGTGATCAATGCAATGTACGACCCGCAGCTAGTGGATGACCGCACATTGCCTAGATCATTCACAGGTTAATATGGCAGCTGCTGCCATCCCATTGTCATTCATTGAGCTACAGTGTGCACCACAAAGCGCCCAAGATTGCTTAGGGGATTACTATGGCAACAAGCGATTGGAGCTCTCTGGTCAGCTGGTTGAAGTCCTTTTTGAGGAGAGCCGCTGCATTCAATTGCTTTGATGGTCATGAAGGTAGAGGCATAGATTAGATGCAGGCCATGACCACATGAGACACCGGTTGAGATGCTTTCCGCCCTGCAAGCAGACTGAGACCTTCATTAATATATGCCAGGATCAATTCAAGCATATGAACTCCGAGTTGCAAAAGCAAGCCGATCTTCTTTTGTCCAAGTGGCATCAGTCTGCAGCTGCACGGACGAAGGACATGCTATCGCGGCTTGGCATCCTCAATTACAGACAACGCCGAATACTTGGGGACAGCTTGATTGCGAACTTAAGCCCTTTTGAATTGAATCTCAATACAGTACCCAGGTATCCGGACATACTGGAGTCCTGGCAAGATCGCTCACGCCTGACCAGGGCGATGGCGAATGCCATCTCGACCGGAAATTGGAACATCAAGCGCTTCCGCATTGACCGGGCTGGTGTGTCGCAGGCTGGCAGGGAAGTGCCCTGTCATTAAAGGATATTAAAGGTGAAGGCTGGTACAGATGAGTTTTTCGCATGCATGGTAGTGTTGACTTGCCATGCCTCGTTATGCATCACGCTGGCCCCTTTGCAGGTTCTATCCAGGTTCTCCTACATGTCCTGCGTTGGGTCCATGACGCTTGGCTTTGGAGCAGCGAGTCTGGTGCTGACCACCAGAACTCCAAAGAATAATGTCGCATTTCCAAACCATGTTCGCGCAAAGAGAGCAATCAACCGTCCAATAAAGCGAGTGTCCTTGTTACTTGTGTTTAGTAAAGCTGTGCCACCCCTTCTTTGCTACATGTTACCATGAACTTGATATATAGTTCTTTGTACTTGCTTGGCTGTTGACAGCTTCGAAGGATGAGAGTGAAGTCGCAGTTTGAGAAAAGCCGCAAAGTGGCCGGGCCGCGTGCCTTGCAGCCATCTCAATGGGGCATGCTATGTCCTGCAGACACTCCTGAAGGTGAACAATGCGGCCTGGTGAAGTGTCTTGACATCCGACAGCCGTCCACATCCGAAATTGAATTGACTAGTGTCTTGCACAGAATTTGGCTGACCTCCACAAACTCACCAACTCATGAGGTGCGTAATTTAATATGTATTCGGGATGTTCATCAGCCTCGCATATCCGACATGTCCCACTTCTTTGGTTGATGCTCTTAAGGCATTTGGCCTTGTTGACACATGTCACCACAGGTGAAGGTCAAGCCCTCAGACACCTTCGGTTCACCATGGCTCAACATAAAAAGCCACCGAGCTTCACGCTGAACCAATATGCTGAGGGCAAGGTGGCGCAAATCTTCGGCATATGTGTTTCTGCCTGGGGGTGGAGGCTGCCACCATTTTGTCCCAGCTGCTTGCGTGACATGCGTCCGGAGTCAAAACACGTTTCACATTGTCAGGACGCACATGCTTTGTCGGGTGAAGAGCTTCATCACATTGGCAATTACTTGGAAGCTTGGCATTCCGAAAATGTAGGAATGCATCGACAATGTAGGAATGCATCGCGCAGGATCATTTCTATTGAGGGACAATGTCCCCGGACGAAACTGGGTGAGAGCAGGACTGCTTCCTGTCCCTGTCCCTTGCTGGCCTGAGGTCTTCTTGAATGGCAATCTTCTAGGTGTGCACCGAAGGCCAAAAAGGTTTATGGCCAGCTCCTTGCCGCAATAACTCGGCAACTTAAAGTAAGTTGAAGTTGGGTCAGTTAAGTGTGTTCGACATGGTGCCCTCAGGTTTGCAGCAGCTGAGACGGCGCGGTCTCATTGGAGAGTTTGTTTCAATCTACGAGGATGAAGGTGGAATAGACTGGGATAGACATGCAACTATGCTGCCAACACCAGTCACGCATGATTTTGCTGTGCTTCGCAAATACTTTGGAGTTTAGGCACTTTGTAGCAGAACCTCTCCTGATCCCAGTGATGCAGGGTGGCATGCAATCTTTGTGGCATCGGATGGGGGGCGTTTGTGCCGGCCGTTGATCATTGTCGCTGATGGCAAACCCCGCTTTATCCCGGAGAAACATGTGCCACTGTGCCTTGCTCGGCACACAGCTTGCTTGCCATGTTCTAAGTTTGGCCACACGGCCCGTGAGCTTTAAGGATGTTGAAAAGGCCGAAGGATGGCGGCATGTCTTTCGTGGACTTCTTGCGTCAAGGTGTGGTTGAATGGGTACCTTGGCATGGCTTTTCCGCCTTGCTGCAGTAGTTAGAGTTGGAATGAGTTGGATAGCTGCAAGTTTGCAGGCCGCCTCTAGGTCACGACTTGATTAAGGTAGATGTCAATGAAGAGAACAACCTGTTCATTGCACTGCACCCAAATGACATAACAGCAGAGACCACGCATTTGGAGATTGAGCCCTTCACTCTTCTAGGCAGGACACACTTTTCTCCTTGAAAAGTCTTTGTGTGATAAAGTTTGGACCCCACCATGCTCGCACCAGGCGTGGTCTCCGGGCTCATCCCATATCCCAACCACAATCAGTCTCCTCGGAACACTTATGAATGTGCCATGGGAGCCTTGCACATAGCTATGATCTGTGAGGTGAAAGCGAAAGCATGAAAAACAATGATTACACATGGCAGGCATTGAAATATATTGAAGCATCATGCAGCATCTGAGGAAAGCAAGCGATGGGTTGCATTGCCATGAACCAGTTCACCAGATCTGACCTTCGGCTGCCCAGCACTACTGTACGCAGTGAAGTGAGCATGTTCTACCTCACAGCCCCTGCGGTACCTGGTAGGGTGCCAAGTGTCCTCAGAGCATCCTTCTCGCCTTAGGATACACTCCTACTTGGGCTGGTGTATCCTGAGAAACCGCTATGTACTAGCAAGACACTGCTCCTTGGCTAGCTGTGGATGCTTTATGAAAAATTGATGGCAACCAAATGCCAACCGTGTCATTGATTTACGTGACGGTCTCCCATATTCTATAGTTTATAGCCCAGCCTTACAACTCTGACTCTGCAATCTAACACTGTAGAATTTGGTATGTTTAGTGTGGCACTTATCTTGTGACATTCCTCCATATCATGCAATGGAGCTTCTCATCATGACGATTTACGCCAGGAACCTTGTTGATTTTCATCATTTGGGTGCTGGACAAAATGCTTCAGTTGCGGTCATGAGCCTCTCAAATGCAATTGAACATTTTCCTGATCTGTTTTCACTTCATTTATTTGTTGCCTTGCGCGGCACAGCGGCTTAACAGTGGCAAGCAAGGCGATTGCTGGCACCACCTCATAAACGAATGGCCAGAGGCCAGGAGGTCGTGCAAGGTTCTGTCGGCACCTGAGGCTATAGTGGTTATGACATCGAGGATGCCATCATCATGAACAAAGCTGCACTTGACCGCGGCTTTGGCAGGCAGGTGAATGGCATGAGGGGTGCCAGCAGTGGATGTGACAAGTCTACCTTGTCAAAACTTAGCCTCAAGCATAATATTTGATACGTTCTGCGTGTAATGGACGACTTTGGCTGGAGGTGCTTTGTGATGAGACGACAGAGTGTGCATGCCTTGGCAGTTTTGGCTTGTAAAGCTTCGAGTGGCTCATGGTGTGTCCAGTGCGTCCTTTGAAGGGCTGAGCTTGCCTTGCTCCTAGGTGCAAATGGTGCCACACTCAGATGGCCAAACAGATCTACTTGCACCGCCGCAGAAGGGCGATTTGAAGGCCTGCCATTGGGTGCAGAAAGTTTAAAGAACGTAGCTTCTGTTTCAGGTAGGCATGAACCCATGTAGGCCACTTGCACGGCCATTGCTTTGTTTATGACATTTGGACTTGTCGTGCCTTTCTTTATGCCTTTGTGCAAGGAAGGGCGAAGAGGCTGGATGACATAGTTGAGAGGAACGGAAAGTATGAAGAGTTCAGAAAGAAAGTTCCAGCAGAACATTGTGGCAAAGGCCTCTGGAGGCAAGGTCATGAAGAGTGTCTCGGCCCCAGGCCGCAACAAGAAGCAGAGTGGCCTGGATGAGGATGGCATGGTTCGACCCGCTGAGAAGGTCGAGGATGGCTACTGCCTGGCTAACAAGATTCTTGACATGCCCAAGGGCTGCCATCAAAAATGTCGTCAAGCAGCCAAGCAGTTCTTGCTTGACTGGGAAAACACGGATGTTTCACTTCATGATGCTTGTTTCCAGAATCATTTGGACTGAGGATAACCCCCGTCGACACCAAAGGCATTCAAGAGCTCATCGGCAACGATGCAAGGTACAGAGCAACCCCTGTTACCTACAAGAACCCGGTCTCTTCATATATTGCCCAGACCTTAGCATGGGCTTGCAGGAGCCACTCCTGCTGGGGGTCGACCAAAATGATTGGAGGAACATGGACGAATTTGTATGCCTATATGCCATACATATAGGCTATAAGGGCTGATGTGAGAATTGTAACAGCGGAAGGTGAGCCCTGCAAATAAAAACCGGATTCTTGAGGATTTTGACAAATCTATTTATTTATATCTATTTGTAAACAATGTTATAGACTCATGTTATGGACATTATACATACATATGGGAAAGACCGACATCATGTCACATGTTTGAGGATCGCGTACTCTTGACCACCGACGCAGAGGGCATGAAGGTGTACAAGATCATCACTCGCCAAACGCGTCGACCTGAGGTTGGCCACTTTGTTGCAGAATGGGCGGTGCACAATTCATAAGGGTTTGTGTTTCCTTTGCTTTAATGAATCCATGTCACATGTTGTCTAAGCATGACAAAGCCGCTTCAAACATATCGATTGTTTGCCAAGTGCGAGAGAGGGTATATACTCACCATGGGAGTTTGCGCAGCCTAGGTGACAAGTTTGCTTCCCGCCATGGGCAGAAGGGAGTGGTGGGTCTGATAGTGCCTGAAATCGACCTGCCATTTTCTGAAACTGGCTGGAGACCAGACTTGATCATGAATCCGCATCTGGGCAGCATGCCGCAGTATCCAGAGTGTTTTTTTCCTTTGCTGCCTCAGTTGACTGCATGGGCAAAAACTGTTGAACTCAAAAGAACTCAAAACTGTTGAAGATGTTGAAGCCAAACATTGAACTCACAAGGTCTCTTTGTTGAACCTGGCTTCAGGCATGGCTTCCCATCTAGGATGACTGTTGGGAAGATGTTGGAATGCATTGGTTCGAAGGCGGGAGGTGTGCCGCCCTTGTCCTGAGCATAAGCTTCTTTGATGCCCCGAAAGGAATCTGAACAGAAAAGCGTGGAATCACGCAGTAAGTGTGAAGTCTGAAGCAGCCACAGAGTGGTCTCAGTCAAGCAGGAAGGTTGGCGGCGATGCATTTACAGCTAGTCGCAAGACATCAGCAGCCCGGATCTAGCTGAGGGAGTCGATGGTCGGTAGCGATGTAACGAAGGTGCAGTGGGGTTATTGCATGCATGAAGCGCTCCCTGCAAAGGCAGCTGTGATGGAGGGGGCTTTTGCCAACGGCTCGGCTTTTGGTGGTACACCTGCACATGAAATCTACAGGTGGGGTGATGTCGGGCCGGTGCTTTTGTCATTTTTTGTGTATACAATCTGCGATACGACTTAATTAGAATTCTTGGAAGTCCGTTAAACCTGCTCGCTCCACCTTGGCTCGCTTTTTGCGCATGTGCGGGCCTCGTTTTCATAGATCCATGTCGTTGCTTTGACTCATTCGGCCATAGAGGCGCACTATGGCGCACTGCCAATAGACTCGCTGAACCCGGCAGTTTCCATCTGAGGACCTTGATTAGCCATGGCTTTGCGCCAACTGGAAAGGATTATTTAACAAGCGGCATCACTGGTGAGCCTATTGAGGCATACATTTTCTGCTCTTTGGCCCAACGAGTTGTTGTTGCAAACACGGATTGAACGGGGGATCATTTGGTTGGTGTGCCGAGGTGGGCCAATCTACTACCAGAAGCTGAAACACATGGTGGTGGACGGAGACTCAAGGTTAGCTACAGCGTGCTAATCAGACTTCGACTGCCACTTCTCGCACATCCTTGGCCTTGCCTCGCCCAGGACAAGATGCATGCGAGGGCGCGCGGTCCACGAATGCTCCTGACTCGCCAACCAACGGAAGGCAGGGCAAAGGAAGGTGGACTTCGGTTGGGCGAGTCTTGGAAGCAGAGCTTCATTTTCTTCAGATTATTTGATGATTTTCTGGGGCCCATTTTGCCAGGTGTTTGCTTTCCAATAAAGAATGCAGACTATTTGTTTTCTTTTCTGTCGGCATTTAACCGTGGACTGTGGGGTTTAACTGTTTGGCAAAGGTCGAAGTGTCCAAGATGATTGGGGTGTCCGAAAAAGCGGAACAAGAATGGGCGGGCAGGTATGCGGCATGCAGGCCAACTCTCACCAACATGTGCAAATGATGCACAACTGGGGACTTCTTTTCTGACAAGATCTGACAAGCATGACGTTGCACACGGCTACAGCTAGAGGAGTATGTTAGTTGCACCTTTCCATTGGCATAGTGGGATAATCAGTGGCGGTGACAACGCGCTTTCGCGCGCGCGAGAGGGTGAGAGAGATGAGGGATGAGAGAGATGAGAGAAGGAGATGAGGATATGAGGCCTGCAACCTGTCTGAGGAGATGGAGCGAGACTGCCTGGTCGCATATGGCGCTTCAAACCTGCTGCTTGAACGTCTGATGTTTTCCAGCGATGTGTGCAACCCAAGCGTTTGCAGCTCCTTGTGCTGAAATCATTGCCCACCCCAGACACATCCAGACACTCGCACATAGTAGGATGGGCACTAGAAAAGGAAAGATGGAAAGATGTCCACTGAAGATCACTGAAATCACTGAATAATGTTTCTGTTTATCATGCGTGGAGTGGGATTGTGCTGACAGAGCTCACAAGTAAGACTGCTTGGAGCTCGGGTATGTGCTGCTTCAACGAGGAAGATTGCCAATTCGCTATGTACCAAGTGTTCACCTGAACTCAATTGCTTCATCACATTGTGCCAAGTCGTGTTACAAGAAGTCTCCCGTCCAAAGTCTGAAAGCACCCTTTGAACCGTCAAGGACCTTCTTGTCCCTTTCAATCTTCCTCATCAAGCGCATAAGGGCGTTCATTGTTTTAACATGTTTTAACCTTATGATGTACGCTAAAGCTAGTTCTGATGACACAGCAAAACATAAAAAATGCATAAACAATGCAAAAATAATGCAAAACCAATCCCGAAAAAAATGCACAGAAAACGCGAAAACAAGTCACCAAAGGATGCCTTGGAATGCAAAAAAAACGCAAAAAAATGCGAAAAAAAACGCATGTGTCCACTAAACCAATGCAACAAATGCAAAAAAAAATGCACAAAAAAGGCACACAAAATGCAAAAACAATGCACAAAAAATGCAAAAAAAATGCAATCAAAAAGCAAAACGAATGCGATCAAAAACGTTCTGGTCTTTGCCTTTGCATTTTGTTTGCTTTGTATTTGCGTTTTTTTTGCGATTTTTTTGCATTTTTTGTGCGTTTCCTTGAGAAAACGCAAAAAAAAAGCAAAAAAACGCAAAAAAAAATGCAAAAAAATGCAAAAAAATCGCACAAAAAATGCAAAAAAAATGCAAAAAAAATCGCACAAAAAAGGTGGTGTGTGAAAATTGGTTGTGCATGTGCATTTTTTTTGCTTTTTTTTGCTTTTTTTGAACTGCTGTTCTGCATTTTTTTTCTTTTTTTCTGGCTTCCTTTTGCATTTTTTTTGCTTTTTGATATGCACTCTTTTTGACCAGCTGCCTTTTTTTTGCTTTTTTTATGCATTTCTTTTGCATTTCCTGGTCATCCTTTGTGAGTGTGGTTTTGCATTTTTTTTGCTTTTTTATGAATCCTTGAGATTTCAGAGTTAGGCTGTAAGGTACATCATAATTTTAACCATACTTGCCTTTAAGGGACACTTGATAACTTGTGAGACCATGTGAGACCCAGCGCTTGACCTTCAGGGAGTGGCCGATTCTCACTTACCATGATAGAACTTTTGCAACAGGCCCCAGGCTTCAGAGATAGGCAGTACACTGGGCCAAGTTGAAAGCATCACATATGACACACGTTTGCAACATAACCTCCCTCCCATGTAATAAGTCTATTTATTGACTGTTCATGCAATCAATGCAACGTGCCAAACCTTTGCCGCAGTCTCAGGAAAATGCGGCCTGTTCAGTCGTCCAGACTGGTGTAAACTTTGTGGCAGCGCTGAATGGATCACTCAAGTCCGCTTGCCATATGCGTGCAAGCTGCTGTTTCAGGAGATGCAATCCATGAATGAGACTCAGCTGCGCAACTAGACATTTCGCTTGGGTGCTGGCTGACGTTGCCCCTTTGTGACTGTTTTGTAGAAGAATGTTGTAGCATTATAGGCTACGGCTAAGCTCAAAACTCTTAGACCTTCCCTTTGTGGATCCTTTTTTCTTCCACAGCGTGTTTTCACATTATTTTGCGCAAGCTTGGCTGCTCGCCAACCGAGTGCATTTTGCTCCCTTTCTGGAGGTGTGCTGCAAGCTGCAGCTTGCTGAGCGTTGACTCAGCATTGAGCAGAGCAAAGATCGAGCAAATTCGCAGCTGGCTGGGTTTGTTCATAGATTGAGGTTGACATTGATGATACATTGATGTGACATATTGATGTCACATATGATGTATTTTGACGTGTGTTATATGAGTTGTATGTGTTGCATTGGTCACCAGGACTGGCACCTCGGCTAGTCCAGTGAAATAGTCCTCCTGTGCGAATTACACATGCCAAGCGTTTAAAACGCCAGGAGAAAGGAACTCGTCTTTGTGACTTTATCGATTCCATGCCCAAGCAGCCAGCGGCTGGCCTCAGAAAGCTGCATCAAAAATCGCATTGCGCATTGCACTGGATTTTGTGATATTCTGCGACGCAGCCGTGATTGCCCCACAGCTTCTTTCGCGAATAGGCAGCTTGGCCAACCAATTCTTGAGGCAAACCATGGGTTAAACACAAGATTGCAGCAAACAACGCACACACACACACATGGTCCTTCGTGTCGTAAGCAAAAACGAGTTTGGTTGATGTTTTCATTGCAGTGTTCTGGCTTCAGCGTATGAGTGGGAGACTCGCCCACGATTTTTCCACGTGCGGCTGCCGCTGCTGTGGGATTCTCGCGAGGCTCTCAAGCTTCTTACTGGGAGCCGAGACCCGGGAGGAGGTGCGGGTGGCGGCGGTCCCGCTGCTGGAGTCGGTCTACACCCGGCTCCTGGAGAGAGCACTCGGAGCGACAACCGGGGTGCCATTCGGGAGCCCACCTCCTCCTGGTACAGGCGGCGAGCAGGCTGGTGGATCGGGAGGGGGCCCTCCTGGAACTTCGGGAGAAGGTTCTCCTGGTGTTGCGGAGCAGCTGCTCCTGGTGGTACACGGGGTGTAGCACCCCCTCCGCCTGAAAGAGAAGAGGGCGGATCAGGCAGTAAGGGCCGAGGACTGCCACCCTTGGCCCGACTGCGGAGGCGAGATCGTGAAGACGGAGACGGAGATCGATCGCGTGCGGCTACACGAGAAGAGGAGTCCACCGGGAAACCAACATCGGAGAGAGAGGAGTCGCAGTCAGAGGTCGAGAAGAAGAAGAAGGCCCGTTCCAAGGATAAGGAGAAGGAGCGTGGTAAGGAGCGAAAGTCGAGGTCGTCCAAAGAAGATAGAAATCCCGGAGGTCCAGGTCAATCATCGAGAGGCAGTGCAAAGAGGAGGCGATCGAGAAGCAGGTCCAGGCATAGAGATCGGCGGAGGAGGCGGAGAACTCCGACTCCAAGTCCGGCCAAGAGCGCAGAGCAGCAGAAAGAAGGAGGAGAGAGCGAGGAGTGTGAAGCAGACCCAGTTGAGGAGACAGCGGCGGGAGAGCGAAGGGAGGTCCTGGATATGGGAGGGGGCAGTGGACCAGGCCCCGCTTTGGGTTCGGCAACAAACCAAAGAAGAAGAAGAAGTCCAAGGGCAAAAAGCACACTCTCAGGAACCAGGAGTATTGGCGCAGGTGGCGTGAACAACAGAGCAGGCAAAGGCAATGGCGCCCAAGAGGAGGCCGGCAGCCGAGGCGGGGGCGGCGCAGGGTCATGAGGAGACCTGCCGCCCTGGAAGGAGAGGAGGACAACCCATGGGTAGCAGCCGGCGAGGTCACTCTGGCGCAGCTGGAGTCTTGGCCTCTCATTCGGGTGCAAGGAGAGTATTGGGAGGAGGCCACAGATTGCATCGTCGAGATGGTCGAGCTGAAGGTCAGCAGGGGAGACAGAGAGCTCCTGGGAAGAGCAAAGGGGACTTCCAGCGAGGCGCTCCTGAGGTACATCAGTGGCGTGGCGGCGAAGACAGTCAGACTCCATCTTTGTGGCCGAAGGTGCGACAGCCGGACCTGGGAAGACGGGTTCCTTCATGTGGGTCAGGTCAAGCGTCACTGTACGGGAGACGTCGCATGGGAGAAAAATTTAGAGAGCAGTCGAGCCGAGGTCGAGAGGGACGAGCTCGAGCGCGTCCGCGACGAAGCAACAGCAAGAGGAAAAGGTCGAGGACTCCCAGCCGAAGCTCGAGCAGAAGTGGCCAAGGTGGAGGCCCCTGGGGGTTCGGGGGACTCAGAGGAGAAGAAGAAAAAGAAAAAGAAGAAAGCCAAGCTGAAGATCGAGGGTGTCAAGGACGTGACCCTCTTGTTCAACAACACAGGCATGGATGCAGATCCACTCAAACGAAAAAGGTTCAGGCGTCGTGCAAAGAAGTTGACCAAGAAAGGGAGAAATCGGGACACTTCATCGAGCGGGAGTTCAAGCAGTTCGGAGTCGTCCAGCGAAGTCAGCCCGGGAGAAGGTCACATGGGAGAGCTCTTCACCCCACAAACCAGCACACAGCGGATGTGGGAACGCCTGCCAGGAGTTCTCACTGCCCAGCTGTTACAAGACGCTCAACGCAGCATGCTACTCCAGATGGGAAGTATGCTGAACAGTTCAACTCGGCTGCAACCGCTGGCATCGCAATATGTGAGGCAACAGATGGGCTCAGCTATGTCGCCGGTGATATACCGAGAAGCGATCCATTGGGCCGCGGCCCTCGACCTGATGGTGCAAGGCAAGACAGCTGCCGCTTGCGACGTGATGTCCCAACGGCTCAAATCGTTGGAGGCCCTGGCCAAGGGCATGAAAGTCGACCTGATAAAACAGCTCGAGCTGATCCAGGTGGACAGCCATGGCCTGGCCAGTTCGAGCGAACTACATCAGGCGGGGCGGACTGCTCACGAGGAGAACAAGATCTACGGCAAGGCGACGGGGAAATATCCCGATTACAGAGATCGGTTCAAGGAGAAGGGCAAAGGCAAGGGAGGAAAGGAGGAGACGAAAGAGAAGGACCGCGACAAGGAGAAGGGCAAAAGAGGCAAGGGCGAAGGCAAGAAGAGCCAATAGAGGAGTTTCACACGGGAGTCATTCGTACTCCTGGTACAGGGCAACCATCTTCTGGTGGCAGGGAGATGATGGCCAATGAATTTGAGGAGCTTGAGACGGGAGCAAATAGGCGAGCGGCCGGAGCTCCTGGCACGAGCATGCATGAGATCATTCAACAGTCAGCCAGCGTACTCCTACGAGATGGTACTATTTCGATGCGCTCCAACAAGGAGATTCCCCCGGATCGGCGTAACCCACTGTTCCCACTGCGAAAGGAGGGAACTCCGCGCCGGCTGACAGAGAGGCAGCACGTGGGGCGTTCTTGGCCTTGAATCATTTGGCTGGATTTGGGACCTCAGCGCCTGTGACTACCTCCGCGAGTTCTCCAACGAGCACGGCTCACGAAGATGAGCTGGGACTTCGATCGAAAGCGGAAAAAAGTGTGTCGCGTCTCGTGCACCGTAATCACATGTGGGGTGTGTCGGATGTTAAGTTGATTTTGATTCTTTTTTCAAGGGACGAGGGGTGAATTATCTTGGTGATGAAATCAAGACTGCACAGAAGCTCTCATGGGAGGCTGTCAAACAGTCGCTACCCAAGGGTGTTGGGTCGTTGCCGCTTGCTGATTTCTGCCGATTAGGGACTCGTGCATACATACATGATTTTGAGAGGTACATGGTTCCTGAGGAGGCTAGGACCTACACAACTCCACCCACAATGATGATCCAAGAAGGGCAGTGGGAGCCTCTGGCAAAGGGGCTCCTGGAGCGGGGGATAGCCGAGGTCATGCCCCTGGATAAGGTATATCACTTGGATGGGAAGCCAGTCGAAGCCAGTCCTGAACGGGCTGTTTGCGGTCGGCAAGGGCGAATTTGAGAACGGTATTGAAACACAGAGACTTATCATGAACCTCACCCCGGTCAATGCACTATGTCGACCTTTGGCTGGAGACGTAGGGACGCTACCGGCCATTTCAGGCTTGAGTGGGTATCTGCTGGACGATGGAGAGGTGGTCCTCCTCTCAAGCGAGGACATCAGGCGCTTCTTTTATTTGTTTGCGGTGCCACAGTGCTGGAAGGCCTATTTGGGGTTTAATCGCATGTTACCCGAGACCCTGGTACCTGGGACAGTCATGTGTTCCAGTCTCGAAAGTACTGCCCATGGGGTTTGTTAACTCTGTCTCGATCGCACAACACATCCATAGGAATGTAGTCCGGCTTAGTGCACAACGGTGTCAACCGTCCATCGGAGGGGAGGGAGAACTTCGTAAAGACAAATGCCTTCCAAACTCTGATCACTTGTATCGCACGTACCTTGATAACTTTGATTGTTTGGAGCGTGTGCATGCAAGCTTGGCTGAGACCATCAAGGGCACGGTTGGCACACAAGTTGAACAATTGCGTGAGGCTTACGAGGCCTCAGGTTTGCCACGCCACCCTAAGAAGGCCGTACAGCGTGCAAGTGTAGGTGAGACGCAAGGTGCGTTGCTTGACGGTGAACGAGGTTTTGCCATGGCCAAACCAGCCAAGGTGGTTCAGTACTGCAAGCTGGGATTTGAGCTTTTGCAGCGGGGCACGTCGACCCTGAGGGAATTGCAAGTAGTCTGTGGTGGATTCGTGTACCTTTGCATGTTTAGGAGGGCTTTGTTGTGTTCTCTGAATGCAGTGTTCGAACACATGAAGGCTTTTGAAGGTGAGGCCCCTGTAGTCCGTTTAGCTCTCCCGTACCAGGTGAAGGTTGAGATTGCCCGTTTTATCCTTCTCACTCCCCTTGCTCAGATGGAGTTTAGAGCGAAGGTTGATGGTGAGGTTACCTGCTCTGATGCATCATCCTATGGGGCGGGCTCTGTGCTTCCAAGGGGCTTAGTGAGTTTGGCCATGCTGCACTCAACGCCTGCTGTAGGGGGGACCTTCCGGAAGAACATGACCTGGTTCCGGCGCTCAGTGTCGGGCTGTTCGATGGAATTGGTGCACTGCGCGTGGCGTGCGACGTGTTAGGTCTGCCCATGGCAGGGCATGTGAGCATTGAACAGAACCCACAGTGCCACAGGGTAGTTGAAAGCTACTTCCCAGAGTGTGACTTTTTCGAGGATGTGACCAAGTTTGGCGAGGAGGAAATCTTGCAATTGCCCCTCAAATACAGCAATGTAGGACTGGTGATTGTAGGCGCAGGACCCCCATGTCAGGGGGTCTCAGGACTTAACGCTGACAAGCAAGGAGCGTTGAGAGATGCAAGGAGTTCGTTGTTCCAAGAGATCCCAAGGATCACAGCGTGCTTCAAGAGAATTTTCCACTGGGCCCAAGTGCATGAGTTGGTTGAGAATGTGGCATCAATGTCAGAGACAGATAGGAACATCATGAGTGACCGATTCGGGCGCGCACCATATCGCATTGACTCACGAGACATTTCCTTGTGTTCACGGCCACGTTTGTATTGGGTGACCTGGGAGTTGCGCTCGGGTGATGGGGCAAGTGTCTCAGCACCGGAAGGAGGTTCCTCGACAGGTTGTGAGAGTGTTCAACTCTGTGGTGAAGTAGATGCCCGGTCTTTCCTTCACCCTGGATGGAGCCTCATGGAAGGGGGGTATTTGCCCACGTTTACCACATCCCGTCCACGTAGCAGCCCAGGTCGGAGGCCTGCCGGGCTGGAAGGTTGTTGTGAACATGAGAAAGCTCGTTGGGTCCAGGACTGTTATCGTTTTCCCCCATACCAATACAAAGACATCAATGGCCTTTGGAATAAACGGGGGGATTGGAGACGTCCTGATTCAGCCGAACGTGAAGCATGCATGGGCTTTCCCGGGCTTTCCGGTAGGTTTCACTAAGAACTGCGTGCCCAAATCACAGCAACAAGGGGCCGCCTATGAGGACATCAGGCTCACCCTGTTAGGCAACTCGTGGCATGTTGCGGCGGTAGCTTGGCTCCTACAACAGTTGACTTTGCCATTAGGCCTGTGCAAAGTGTTGAACCTCAACCAGCTGCTTCAGTGCTTGACCCCAGGGCAAGCCACGGATTTTTCCACAATGTTGATCAGGCCGCCCCTTCACGGGCGCCAGGCATTGGTCCGGGAGACCGACACAGTGGAGCTGGTCAAAAAGCTCTTTGGACTGTCATCCATGAAGGGTGAGGACCTGATGATTCACAGCGGGAGCGACCCGGCTCCTCGATACTTCCGACTGCGTGCAAGTGTCCCTGGACGTATGTGGAAGTGGCGTGAAATTAGTGGGTGGCCTTGGAAACATCCCGGTGAGCACATCAACGCGCTAGAGCTCCGAGCCATTCTTACTAGTATCAAGTGGAAGATCTGGAGGTGCAAGAGGGTAGGCATGCGCATCCTCCATTTGACAGATAGTTTAATGTGTCTACGTGCCCTTACTAGAGGTAGAAGCTCAAGCCGTCGGCTCAGACCCATCATTATGCAACTGAATTCCTATCTACTAGCTGCTGACCTGCATCCCCTTTAGGGATATATTCACGCGTCACTGAACCCCGCGGATCGCCCTAGCAGGCGGCCGCTGCGCAAGAAATGGCTAAAGTAAAGTCACGTGTGTTTGAGGGTCGCAGCAAGGAGGATAGGAAGCGTCAACGCAAGGCCTTGGGGCCTTTGAAGGGTCTAACAGTCTCTAGTAAGACACAGGCACGCTACAAGAATGCTCGAGAGCGTTTCTATGATTTTCTGTCTCGCAACCAAATTGACATTCCCACCAAACGAGACCGCTTTGATTCCTTGGTTTCGGAATACATAAGAGTTTCTGTGGGCGGAAGGCGAGGGGCGTGGCCTCGCCGCTGACACCATTGCTGGGTTGCAGGACCTCGATCCGAAGTTGACAGGGCATTTACAGCAAACTTGGAGACTGATGAAAGCATGGACCACCCAGGAGATTCCCAACAGGGCACCACCACTCCCGGAACAGGCAGTCTTAGCCATGGCCGGCTGGTCGGGAACTTCACCAGCGGTCATAAGTCTTGGTTTGACTAAGGGTGGTAAAAGAACTGGTGCAGCAGAGTCTGTCACCTTGACTGCCGCAGTGGCACTGAAATGGCTGTGGCTCTGGAAGAGTCAAAACGGACCCCGTGCTTCGTTGTGTCCCTCGGCCTCCGTCTGGAGGAAAATGTTTAAGGCCTGTTTGTCCGATTTGAGCCTGAGTCTCTTCGAGTTCAGACCTTATTCCCTCAGGCGGGGGGGATCGACGTTCTGGTTCTCCAGGCACGGGGGACTTGATCGGCTCCTGATTGCTGGACGCTGGCAAGCAGCGCGCACGGCCCGCATATACATTAACGAGGGCCTTTCAGTCCTAGCCGAGTTGCATTTGCCCCATAAGTCCCTCCTTCCTTTTTCTCGTGTGTTTCACTCTCAGTCCACACCCCCAGAACCAGCACACTTGAGCGCGCGCGCAAAGCGCAGAAAAGGGGGACGTGGAAAGGGTGGAGGGCAGGATTTCTTTTTTCGATTTTATGAGTAGCT